GTGTGTGTGTGTGTGTGTGTGTGTGTGTGTGTGTGTGTGTGTGTGTGCGTGTGTGAAATTATTGCAGCACTGTATTATCCATCTCTCTTTCATAACAAAATACATTATTAAGCATTTAAATCTACTTGTGATTATTTCCATCCAAATGCTTTTGTTCTGTATTTGGTACAAAAGCAGTACAAAGACCATTGGCAGAAATAGGAGGAGTTGAACAGTCCCAAGGTGGAGCTGTCTCCTGTGTTATATGACACTGGCAGATTAAAGCACTTCTGAAGGGGAAGGGCTTAAAGGCTGAGTCAAAAGCCAAGAAGTCTCTTTATTTACGCCTACCTCCCAGTCCTTGGCAATCTGACTAATAACAAACTGAGCTAACTAGAAAGACTAGAAGAGAGGCAGGAGAGCCATACAGCAGTCTGGACCTACAACCGAGGAAAGTAAGAGTGAGAACCCCAGCAAAACATCTTGTTTATTTACTGTGATCAGCAGCTTCTCAATGGTTAACTATATGCGAAACAAAGTCAGCATAGCTGTGAAGTATGCTGTGAATATTAATTGGGGGAAAAGGGACTACAGCTTCAGGATGCTCCAGTGTGTGCTCTGCCTGCGATACTTTCAATGAAAATAAGTGCTCAGTGTTTTGTCTTTGACCAGATGTTTTAAATTTCGAGAGCTATGGGACTTGACAAACAGTGCTATTTGAGGAGAAAGTGCACTGTAGTCCTGTGGTCCCTCTGTTCTTTTTAAATAAAGAAACGGATTGACTTTGGATACCTCTTTCAGCTGTGCATTTCAGATAGCGCCAGGAAGTGTCTGCTTTACAGGTAAGACAAATGTTTCCAGCTTTTTCTTATATTCACGTTTGTACTATCTTGAACTGAGTGAACCTCTCTCTTTCTTTCTCTCTCCCCCTCTCTTTCTCATCTTTTCCTTAAAGGATACTCAGTTTCATTTTGTTCACTGGCCAAGCTAACACTGTAGCAGATGCCTGTTCTCTTGAGCAACCAGTTTAGTTCAACAGCTGGCTGTAGGGAAAAGCAAATACTATAATATGGCATTATTTCTTTTAAAACATGCAGGTTTTTATTAAAAACTAAAAGTGTGTGCTTTCTGGAGGATGATTAAATGCTAAAGTTGAATTTCAAGTATGGGCACAATATGAGGGAATGTTTTGAACTTTGTATGATACTTTTATATGGTTCTGTCGTAGTATTATGCAGTTTTTGAAAGCATGCAAATGAAATTCTTACCATTTTAAGATGATTATATTAGATATAAGCAACAAAATCAATTCTTGAAAACTGTGTACATTTCTGAAAAGAATAAAAACTGTTCCATGCACATTTTGAATTGCATAAATTGCTTTTAAGATAAAAATAAGCTGTTACCATCTGGAAAATATTTACTGTACTCTCAGGATGCTGCAGTTGATGGAATAAATCAAACTCCTTGTTAGTGATTTATGAATTACTTAGACTTTTTTTCTTGTCTGCCAAGGCAATCAGAAAGCTCCAACACAAGCTCCTTCGTTCTGAGCAGATTCCTCAGAATTTTTAAAATTAGAAGGTCTCCCTGTGGAAATGTAAAGCTTCCTAACTTTGCCTTGACAAGCAAAGGCTTTCTACTGCTTCGTTCCTCCAGTTGCCTTTTACCTTCTAGAAACTTTGCACTGTAACTTTCCATAGAAACAATGTATTTTCAGGGACCAAAGTTTACTTTCAGACTCATTGTCTAAATCTGGGTTATTTTATCTGATTGTAAATTTTATTATAATCAAAGTTATTATGTATTTATTATTTACAAAATTAAAAGCATTTATCAGATTGTAATGCTTAATTGTTGGAAGATATGGTGCTTGTCTTTCAATATCATTTATCTGCTTATAACCAAATATTTAAGGAAAGGAAATTTTATATGCACATATGTATATAGAGAGAGTTATATGTGTTTCTCTTGTCACTGCAATAATTTCAAATGATTGTTTCTAAAGATTGCTGATATGCCTGTAGTTTTGTGGGAATTGAGATGCATAGTGGTTTCCTAATCTATCATTTTTAAACAACTCAGGCATATTCCAAAACATTTTTAAAGGAGTACAGCTTATTTCAGATCTCACTGTTTAAAAATACATGCCTAATTGAATGCGTAACTGTGAGATGACATTCAGTGTCTTACAACTTGCTTAATGTGTCCTTTGCAAAGTATTGGTCAGACCTTTACACAAGTCATTATTTTGGTTTTCTTTAATAGAATATTGAAATGCATGTTAAAGATTGCTTTCTTTTTGAGTGGTTAAGCTTTACTTCATTCATGGTGAAATTGTAAAGGAGCAGGAAGTAACTCACATCTAAAAGTCCAAAATAAAGTGTGACTCTTTGGAAATGTAGATATTCTTAAGCATACACATTTGATACTCAGATGCCTACAAAAACTGCCTCAGAAAGAAGAGTCAAAACTAAGTTGTTTTACAATACTGTGTTTAACTATATAGTTAAAGAAATCTTCCTTAATCTTTTAAAATGAATTTTCAGTAGCCTGCATATATTCTGTAAAACCAGACAAGTTAAAACAGAGATATGTTTATGCATCAGTAATTATATTCAGGCTCCATGAAAACATACATGCACATACAAATATAAATATATTTATATACACATTTTACATCATTTTTATCCCCAGTGCTCTATATTATTTTATTTAATGCATTTCCATACATAATTTATATATAGCTCTCTGGCATTCCTGGAAATTTTCTCTAAGAGAAAAACAGTAAAGTCATATTCACATATTCAATTCTGAACTATGATGGAGTGTCCAGTTAGCCAGAAAGCCAGTCTCTTGCCTATGAAAACCTTTAGAATCTTTAGCACTTGTGATCACAAGTGCTGAAATAATATTATAAATTTTAATTGTCTTAAATTTTGAGCAATACACAAGTTAAAGTGAACAACTCAGTGTAAATATTAACTCAAATGCTAGAAGAAAATATAGATACAGCAGGCTACTTACAGTTTCACAGTAATTTTTTTTGTATACAAAATAAAACCTGTGAGACACATCTCCCTGCTGTTGTCCATTAAAATACCTTGTTATTGCATTTCTTTTTACAGACTCAGTTTCAATCATAGGACACCATGAAGCTGTGGATTTATCTTCTTTATCCATCTCTTCTTGCTTGTATATCTCTACAGTCCCAATCAGGAATGCCCTCAGTCAGAGGTTCTTGTGACACTCTTTGCAATTGTGAAGAGAAAGATGGCATAATGCTAATAGATTGCGAAGAAAAGGGCATCAATAAAATATCCCAAATAACTGTGCCACCATCACGACCTTTTCACTTAAGTTTATTAAATAATGGCTTGACAATGCTTCACACAAATGACTTTTCTGGGCTTACCAATGCCCTTTCAATACACCTTGGATTTAACAACATTGCAGATATTGAGACTGGTGCATTTAATGGCCTTGGGCTTCTTAAACAACTTCACATCAATCACAATTCTCTGGAAATTCTTAAAGAGGACACCTTCCATGGTTTGGAAAACCTGGAATTCTTGCAGGCTGATAATAACTTTATTACAGTAATTGAACCAAGTGCCTTCAGCAAGCTCAACAGGCTGAAAGTGTTAATTTTAAATGACAATGCTATTGAGAGTCTTCCTCCAAACATATTTCGATTTGTTCCTCTAACCCATCTAGATCTTCGTGGAAATCAATTGCAAACATTACCTTATGTTGGTTTTTTAGAACACATTGGCCGGATACTGGATCTGCAGTTGGAGGACAATAAGTGGGCGTGCAATTGTGAATTATTGCACCTAAAAAACTGGTTAGAAAACATGCCCCCACAGTCCATAATTGGTGATGTTGTATGCAACAGCCCTCCACTTTTCAAAGGGAGCATACTGAGTCGCCTCAAAAAGGAATCTATTTGTCCTTCTCCACCACTGTATGAAGAACATGAGGATCCATCAGGATCTTTGCTGGCCATAACATCTTCAGCTAGTGACAGCCGCCTATCAACCAAGAATATATCCATTTTAAAACAACCTACCAAAGCACCGGGTTTGATACCCTACCTTACAAAGCCATCTACTCACTTTCCAGTACCTTACTGTCCTGTTCCTTGCAACTGCAAAGTCCTCTCCCCATCAGGACTTCTAATCCACTGTCAGGAGCGCAATATTGAAAGTTTGTCAGATCTACAGCCTCCTCCACACAATCCTAGAAAGCTGATTCTTGCAGGTAATATCATCCATACCTTAATGAAGTCTGACCTGATGGAATATTTCACTTTGGAAATGCTTCACTTGGGAAACAATCGTATTGAGGTTCTTGAAGAAGGATCATTCATGAATCTAACAGGACTGCAGAAGCTCTATCTCAATGGCAATCATCTTACTAAACTAAATAAAGGTATGTTCCTTGGTCTTCACAGCCTTGAGTACTTGTATCTTGAATACAATGCAGTAAAGGAAATATTACCTGGGACCTTCAACCCAATGCCTAAACTGAAAGTTCTTTATTTAAATAACAACCTTCTCCAAGTTTTACCACCACATATTTTTTTAGGTATTCCTCTAACTAGAGTAAATCTTAAAACAAACCAGTTCACGCATTTACCTGTAAGTAACATCTTAGATGATCTTGACCTATTGATCCAGATTGACCTTGAGGATAACCCCTGGGACTGCTCCTGTGACCTGGTTGGATTGCAACAATGGCTACACAAGCTTGGCAAGAACACAATGACGGATGATATCCTCTGTACTTCCCCAGGGCATCTTGACAAAAAGGAGTTAAAAGCCCTCAACAGTGAACTTCTTTGCCCTGGTTTAGTAAATAACCCTTCGCTGCCAACTCAGACTAGTTATATTATGGTCACTTCTCCCACAATGGCAACTGATACAGCTGGTACTATTTTAAGTTCTCTCACTGATGCTGTACCCCTATCGGTTCTAATCTTAGGACTTCTGATTGTGTTCATAACTATTGTATTCTGTGCTGCAGGAATAGTGGTTCTTGTCCTCCATCGCAGGAGAAGATACAAAAAGAAAAAAGTAGATGAGCAAATGAGAGACAACAGTCCTGTACACTTGCAGTACAGCATGTACGGCCATAAAACAACGCACCACACAACTGAAAGACCTTCTTCCTCTCTCTATGAGCAGCATATGCTGAGCCCCATGGTTCATGTCTACAGAAGTCCATCTTTTGGTCCAAAGCATTTGGAAGAAGTTGAAGAAAGGAATGATAAAGAGGGAAGTGATGCAAAACATCTTCAGAGGAGCCTGTTAGAACAGGAAAATCATTCACCACTTACAGGTTCAAATATGAAATACAAAACTACAGAGCAATCAATGGATTTCCTATCCTTTCAAGATGCAAGTTCATTATATAGGAACATTTTGGAGAAAGAAAGAGAACTTCAGCAACTAGGCATCACAGAGTATCTAAGAAAAAACCTTGCTCAACTCCAGCCAGATGTGGAGGTGAGCTATCCTGGAGCCCACGAGGAGCTGAAGTTAATGGAAACATTGATGTACTCACGACCAAGGAAGGTGTTGGTGGAACAGACTAAAAATGAATATTTTGAGCTCAAAGCTAACTTGCATGCTGAACCTGACTATTTAGAAGTCTTAGAGCAGCAAACATAGAGGGGTTGTTCATGGGATTTTGCAGAAATGCTGTAAAGCTGACGTAAGTCCAAATCTTGGAAATAAGTGCCTTACATGGTTGCCATCAATCGGAAATCAGCACAGCAGTAGTCCTACGGGAGATAAAAGAAGAAAGTGAAACTCAGGGATCATTGAGGAAGCCATGGCGTTATCATAAGGCAACTTATCCTGTTTCAAATAAAACAAATCCTTGCATATAACTAAGGCAAGGATTTTAGTAGTATTTCTCCTTATGTTTAAAAGGAATTCAGAAAATTTCTCTTGCATACCTAATGGGTTGAACATCTAAACAGCTCCAGTTTTCATGACTGAATAACTTGTCCATGGCTGAGTAAAATTGGATTTCACCAGTTAAGAAAATACCTGTATGATATATATGTACATAGTATGTAAGAGATATATTCATAACCAACATATATGTCAGAAATTTGCATTGCCAAACACATGAAATTTTCTCACCATAAATGAAAAGGGAATTGGAATTTAAATTTAGAAATGGCAATAGTAAAGAAAAATGTAAATTTTGTAATTATATGGTCCATTAATGATTCAGAATTTTCAACGAGGGATGAATAAATAAATGCCACCCCTAAGCTTTCTGAATTAAGACACAGATGACAAATAGTTCATGTCGGATATATAAGTGAACATGTTAGTTTAATCTACACATTTTGTGGGGATTTTCTTGATGTAAAGCTGCTGTGAAGCTAAGGTATGTCATTTGTGTTTAACAGTCTCCTCTTCTTGAGATATTTTTTAAATGCTACTGAGATTCTATGTATATATTATTAGAGCACTTAGAAAGTTTGATTCTTTTCATAGTGTTAATTATTTGTACAACTGGATGACAATGACAAAAATGTCTCTCGTGGCACGAAATTGAAAGATATAAAATGAATGGTAAAATTATTATTTTTTACATACACTGATAGATGCCATAGATAAATAGCAGAAGGCATTGCTACAGTAATTGTTTTGAGTTGCCTCAGGAGAGGGACAGTGTAGCTTTATTTTACAAGAAGGTATCACTAGATTTCTATGAACTATTTATTCTGTATAGTTTTGTATATTTTTGGTTCACAAAATAATTATACTTGGGTGCCTTTCAAGAAAGTTTAAAATTACTGCTCACTTCAATAAAATTAAAATGAAAACTGTTTTCAAATGTGTTTCAGTAAATTACTTTGATCTGTGTTCAGTCATGTCATGATTGTCACCTCAATAATACTCTCTGCACATGAAAAAGACTGGTTTCATTTGTGTGCACACAGAAGTCTGTTCAACACACCACACACCACATACACACATAAGCACATGCACATACACACACACAAACCTTTGAGTTTTCCACATGAATGATAACAAACCAAATTTAAAATAAAAATTTATTTATTTATTATTATTTATAATTTTCTTTTTAATTTTAAATTAAATTTTTATTTTTTATATTAATTACAGTTTATTCACTTTGTATTCCAGCTGTAGCAACCTCCCTCATTCCCTCCCAATCTCACCCTCGCTCCCTCATCTCCTCCCATTCCACTCTCCAAGTCCACTGATAGGGAAGGTCCTCCTCCCCTTCCACATGACCCTACCTTTTCAGGTCTCATCAGAACTGGCTGCATTGTCCTCCTCTGTGTCCTGGCAAGGCTGCTCCCCTCTCATGGGTGAGGTCAAAGAGGTAGCCCCTGAGTTCATATCAAAGACAGTCCCTGTTTCCCTTACTAGAGAACCCACTTGGATACTGAGCTGCCATGGGCTACCTCTGAGCAGGGGTTCTAGGTTATATCCATGAATGGTCCTTGGTTGGAGTATCAGTCTCAGAAAAGACCGTTGTGCCCAGATTTTTTTATTCTGTTGCTCTCCTTCTGGAGCTCCTGTCCTCTCCAGGTCTTACTATCTTCCCATTTCATAAGATTCCCTGCACTCTGCCCAAACTTCGGTGAAGAGTCTCAGAATCTGCGTTGATACACTGCTGGGTAGAGTCTTACTAGTATCTGCTGAGATAAAAGAATCAGTCAATGTCACTTAGATAGGTGTTTCAACACATTGGAACCCTGGGGTCTCATTAGGAAGAGAAACCATTACAAAAAAGTGTTTTTGTCCATTCATTTAGCAATGTATTTTAGCACTGAGCGTGAGCTCTACTAGGTTTTCATCTTTCACTATTCATTTCCTTTCTACTGTCACTCCTATGAGACCAGTGTTTTAAAGAATAGATCTTAGTCTAATGCGTAATCACATTCACAAGATTTATACTATAAATTATTACTTATATTAATGTAATCAAGACTTTAAAGGTTCATTTTTTTCCCCAAACTGGAAAAAAAAAAAACATGCTTTTGTTTTAATTCCAAAGTTAAAATTTAGGTAAAATACATGTACATAAGGTTGCTTTATATTTATGTAGAAAAATAAATTCAGTACAATAATTAATCATTTCCTCCAGGAGGGAGTTTACCCATTATACTCTGAGTAAAAGAAAAAAATTAACAGCAGAAAATGTTATCATAGTTCTCCTACCTAGTTGAGTTTTTACTAATTTTTTATCCTAATTATATAGGTGTACTAGCAAGGTTTAAAAATGCCCATGCCTTTGGACCGTTCGAGAGGATCAACACGTGCAAGAATATACTCTCATGAAGAAACACATGCCTTCAGAAATACACTTCTCTTTTCAGGGGAGTAACATTTTTACACCTCCATGTTCTTTTCATTGTTGAAATTAATAGTCTTAATTTATCAACTTGTAATCAAGAGGGAAAAAGTTATTTATGAAATAATGTAAGTAAATGTCTCATTATAAATATCCCAAATATTAATGCAGTAAAATATGAATATAGCTTTAAAGGACATGATAATCATTATAACTTCTAAAGTGTACAATATTATAAGCAATTAAATATTTCTTTCACTGTGAATATTCCTTTGTGATTCAATTTTCTACTGATTGTTATTGATTTATATCTTAAAGGAGGTTTTATGATCTGTGATAATCTTTTAAATATTTGACTTTTATTTTATATAACATTCTCCTCTGAAGAAAATGGAAGCTCTTGCATGTTTTGTTTACAAAGTCAACTGGCCTCTGGAGTTAACAGGGATCAGTTCTTATATCAGTATGATCATCTTTGCCATGTAAGTTGGTTATCTCAAAGCCCCTTAATTATACAAGGTTAACTTCTTGTTTCAGAGAGAAATTATCCTGTTTTCATTGTTTATCACTGTATATCTTGAGTCATGTGTCAAATTTAAATTTCTGTAATGTACTGACAGCAGCATAATATTCCAGGATCAACATTTTAAATTCTATCTTAATCTGTCATGTAAGTTATAGCAAGATTTACAGGAAAAGTCACATTAGTCAGTAAATAATACAAACTCCTTTTAACTTTAAAACACTGTCATCTTTACATCTCTATTGATTTTCATCATGGGCCTGGAACTTTAAAATCTATAGAAGAAAAATTTTACATCAATGCCTTTTTATAGTCAACTCCCAGTGTTTCTGACACAGAGAAAGCATGATTCTTCTGAATTCATGTTAAATAAACTGAAGCCTCATGCAAGCCGCCTTAAGCTGCCTGGATGCTATGGTCAACTAATTCCAAAGGCTTAAGATTTGAAGCAGGAGTTTTTAACCTTTGCCATTCTCATGGGTGTAAGGTAAAATCTCAGGGTCGTTTTGATTTGCATCTTGCTGATGGCTAAGGATGTTGAGCATCTCTTTAAGTGTTTCTCTGTCATTCTATATTCCTCTACAGAGAATTCTTTGTTCAGTTCTGTACCCCATTTTTAATTGGATTACTTGATTTATTGCTTTTTACTTCTTTAGTTCTTTATATATTCCAGATAGCAGCCCTCTGTCAGATATAGGCTTGGTGAAGATCCTTTCCCAGTCTGTAGGCTGTCATTTTGTTCTGGTGACAGTTTCTTTTGCTTTACAGAAGCTTTTCAGTTTCATGAGGTCCCATTTATCAAGTTTTGCTCTTAGAGCCTGTGCTGCTGGTGTTCTCTTCAGGAAGTTTTCTCCTGTGCCAATGAGTTCTAGGCTCTTCCCCACTTTTTCTTCTAACTTATTTAGATTATCTGGTTTTATGTTGAGGTATTTGATCCACTTAGACTTTAGTTTTGTGCAGGGTGATAAATATGGATCTATTTTCGTTTTTTTTGCATGTAGACATCCAGTTGGACCAGCACCATTTGTTGAAGATGCTGTCTTTTTTCCATTGAACGGTTTTGGCTTCTTTGTTGAAAATCAAGTATTCATAGGTGTTTGTGTTTAGCAGTGTATCAAAGCAGATGCAGAGCCTCATAACCAAAACTTGGGCAGAGTGCAGAGAATCATATGAAAGAAGGGGGAATTACTATGACCTAGAGAATACAGGAGCTCCACAGGGACAAAATATAACAGGGCACAGGGGTTTTCTATGAGACTGTTTCTCCAACCAAAGACCATGTATGGATATAACCTAGAAACCCTGCTTGGATGTAGTCCATGGTAGCTCAGTAACCAAATGGGTTTCCGTAGTAAGGGGAACAGGAACTATTTCTGACTTGAACTGAATGACTGGCTCCTTTACCTGTCCCCTCCCCCCCCTCGAGGGAAGAACAGTCTTGCTAGGCCACAGAGTAGGACATAACAGCCAGTCCTGAAGGTACCTGAGAAGCTAGGGTCAGATGGAAGGGGAGGAGGACCTCCCCTAGCAGTGGACTTGGAAAGGGGCAGGGAGGAGATAAGGGAGAGAGAGTGGGGTTGGGAGGGAATGAGGGACTGGACTATGGCTAGGATTTGAATCAGGATTGAAAATGTGACATATGTAAGCCCCTTTTTATTAACGTGATACTTTCAAAGTACTGGCTTATACCCTTTCATTTAAATGTAGGATTTTGTTATCAAACCTACATATTGAGATCAATTAAATGCATATTTTTATATACATAATCTTTATTAATTTGTCATATATATTATATTTGGCATCTACTAATCGAATAAATATATAGCCAATGATATAACATAAATATACAACTTCTATTTAACAATAATATATAGGTGGTATTGGTATTCTCAATACTCTTAAAATTAAATTGCATTATTATTCATGATAACTAACAGATAAATAATTGAAGACATTTTAAAAGAGGAGACTGCTTTTTAATCATGTTTTTCTTTTCATACCAAAAATAGTCATAGAATCTTCAACAGAGCTTTCAGACGTGTAATTGTTTATGGAATAATCATGATACAACATTCTCTCCGTGAAAGAAGAATTATCTGTGTTTATACAAATGCTATCTGGGTATCTTGTCATGTGGAAAATGGCTTTCCATAGTATATAACGGATCCTTTCTATTTCTTTTGCCCTCAGAATATTCTATGAGGATGATAGAATCTTGTAAAATCATTTAAACTAAATGAAGAGATTTGGATCTTGCTGGTCTTATCTCAGCCAGAGTAACCTTGTGTATGGGAAACATATAAATGCATATATATAACCTCATGACCTAGGAATAGACATGATTAAAAACACAGAATTCAGAATTCCCTTTTTCTTCGAAATTTTTTAACACACTGAAATAATTTTTTTGGTTCATGTCTGAAGGTATGACTCAAATATATTACATAACTAATCTTTACCTGGAGTTATAAAATTACAACATTAAATTATACTGTTTAATGACTAATTCTTTATGAAAATAATAACTTTTATCAACTTTATTGATGCAATTATTTATTGAAGGTGTATTTTATGTTTATTGCATACAAGGCCATACTTAAATGTTTATAACAGGGGAACCAAATGTAAAATCCCCTTCCATCTCCTATGAAAGCATAATCAAACATACTCTTCTGTTAGTAAATGTCTTTCAGCAGATTAGTGAATGAAAAAAGAGAACAATTCAAAACAACAAATTACAGCCACATAGTGTTATACTTCTTACTTAAGCCATTTAATATTGGACACTTGAAATAGAATACATTTGTTCCAGTTTTTAAAACATAGAGAGCAAAATAGCATTTTCTTTTTTTAAAATTCTTTATTAATTACACTTTATTCACTTTGTATCCCCCCATAAGCTCCTCCCTCCTCCCCTCCCGATCCCACCCTCCCTCCCCCTTGTTCACACTTGCCCCTCCCCAACTCCACTGAGAGGGGA